GGTTTCTCCTTTTTTTTTTTAAATTGTTTCATAATATTGGTTATTGGTTCTGAATGCCAGTAACATGTACTTTTGCCAACCGTTCCCTTTTTTTTTTTTTTTTTTTTTTTTTTTTTTTTTTTTTTTTTTTCAACTGATATTCTTTGAATTAGAGTCGGTGATGAATTCGGAAAGTACCTACCTACTCAAACCTGTAATCCATGTTAGACATGTGCAAATTATCCAAAGCCACTCCCGAGAAATATTAGTTGCTATGTCCGTACACCAGAGTGACTAGCGGCTTCGAATACTACCTGATATTCAGTTCCATCTGAGGGTTAGAACATTTAAATAAATATCTACGTTGTAGTCATTCAACCAACGATTTCCACCCCCCCTCTCGTTAGACTGATCTCTTCGGCTGTTCATAGTTGAACGAGTCATTGTTATGTCAAACTGAGAGAGCATCAATTTTAGGTTTGATTCGAAAGCCCCCCGAGATCTTCGCAGGGATAGAGAACATCGCTATCCCTGTCTCTTCTTATGTTGTTCTCCGCATAATGGCCGTTAATTACATATGTCTTAGCATTTCGGAGTCTGCCCTCCCCAGTTTCATAAGGGGCTGAGTTCTTCGCTCTTATGTAGGCCGGCTACATCTCGACCCTCGGTGACATCTTCCCAGGTCAGCAACTGCGGATCTTCGCCGAAAACCCAACTTCCATCCTTGAACTCGTCATCGTCTGGTTTCGGCCCCGTATAGCGACCGGCGTGCCAGACATGCAAATGCTTGTCCTTCAGGTCCGACTCGAGGTCGAATCTGGTAAGCAGTCTGGTAAGCAGTCTGGTAAGTTATTCACCGAACCACCCCATACGAGCAAAATGTATTCAACCAATTGGTCAAAAGGGAGTGGCATAATCCCGATATAGATAACACCAGCGGAATATGTTCAATCCAGGTCATGGTTGACATGGCTAAATGTGTGCCAATGGTAGGTATTAACGTGGTGATTGATGTATTGTCTAAATATACCCAACACTTAGACAATAGGGATATGATGATAGAATCGAAATAGTCCTCGGACAGCGCGAGTCAAATTTACGGGTTTCTTTTTACATGTTTTGAGATACTTTACGAGCCTAGCGCTTGACAGATCAATCTTACATTGTGACGGTAGTGATGAATCACCAGTAATGCATATTAACTTCCTAGGAGGTCTTTATGAAAACCAACTTTTATGACCAACTTGTAAATACATCATAATTACCTAGGTAGGTAGTCAAAAGGTATAATAGCAGAAGAACCAGATGTCCAAACCATGGATTCTCGTCTCCCCGGCAAGCCGCGGGATCGGCCACGCCCTAACGCGGCACCTACTCCGGACAACAACCGCTCCCGTATTTGCAACGGCCCGGGCTGATCTATCGGGCGTGCGGACGTCTATCCTAGATAATCTATATGCGTCGCCGCCCCCCGAATTTACAGGAGATAAAAATAAAGCATCCGCCTCGGCGGCCGAAAGACTACATATAGCCCAAGTAGACGTAACAGACGAGCCCACACTACGCTCCGCCTCCGCCTCCGCCGCCAGACTCTTCCCGCCAGAAACGCACCACCTCCGTCTCGCGTTCGCGCTGCCGGGGATCCTATACCCCGAAAAAAGCCCGCAAGACATCGACCACGCCCACGCGCTGCACACGTTCCAAACCAACACCCTCGGCCCGCTCCTCCTGATGAAATGGTTCGGGGCCTTCCTCCCGCGGAGAAGCGTCGCGGTGTGCCCCGAGCCCCTATTCCCCAGCATTTGCGCTGGGCCCGGGCACGCGACATGGCTCACGGCCTCGGCGCGCGTGGGCTCGACAACAGATAACAGGCTAGGCGGGTGGTACACGTACCGCGCATCCAAGGCGGCGGTGAACAGCCTGACCAAGACGTTCGACAACCACCTGCGGGTGCGGTGCGCGGATGCCGCGGGCGCTATAGCGTATCACCCGGGAACGGTGCGGACGGACTTGAGCCGGGAGTACTGGGACCGTGTGCTGGCGGAGCAGCTTTTTACCCCTGAGTACGCTGTTGAACGGATGTTGGAGGTGGTGCGGACGAGGAAGATCAGGGAGGATAGGGGTCGTTGTTGGGATCATCGGGGCGATGAGATTCTGCCCTGAACTTGATTTGATTATTTAAACCGAGGATGTTTGGTTAATCTACACACTATTTTTACATCTTCTGTTACTTGTATGAACAACGCGCCTTTCAAAAGCATTCGTCGATTATTAGAACTACGAGAACAAGTATGATCTCGGGATGTAAAAGAAATCATTCTTCTTACTATACAGGTATATTAATAGTTTGAGCTGACAACTACCATTTTCATGACCTGGCCGGGTATTGTTGGGAAACCCCTGAGAACTCCATGCTATATTTCAAGTCTCAACCGCGCCTACAGCTCTACATTTTGGAAAGACGCCTCGTCTCCAGGAGATGGCGCGGGCCCCTTTTCGTCTGAGCTGTCCCCGCTCTCTTTCTCCTCGCTATTCTTTTTGGTGGCTTGCGATTGGCCTCCAGGTCGTAGGGCGACCTTCTGGGTATCTTTATCCTCAAGTCTTACTTTCTGCTCTTCTGTGGCTTTTTCCTTCTCTTCATCTCCTGTCTTATCCTCATCGTCTTCCCCATCGCTGCTTTCACTCTTCTCCTCGTCCTGCTTGGCTTCTGTTTCTTTATTACTGCCAGGCTGGGCTGGCGGTGGTGGAAGGTCCTTCTGGCTCTGTTGTGTCGGTGCGGGGGACGACGCTGATCTCTGCGTCTCCTCCCCGCCCCCAACAGGAGCAGGTCTCGGGGCATCTAGATAAAACTTGGTGACGCCCAGGATGCGACCATTCTTTTCGCAGGCATCGACCCATTCTGGTCGTACAACGGGAATATTCATCTCGACAGCTTTCTCCCATGGTACGCCGCGTCCTTCGGTGGTGACAAAATGCGTAGTGTCAATGCGCACGCCATCGACGATCTTAGCGCCGATGCGCTCGACAGCTTTAGTGAGTTCCTCGCGCGTGTGGGGTGGCAGGATACCCGTAGTAATAGTGATGCCGCTTAGGTCGGTCATTTTGTGGGTGCGGACAACGACCTGCTTGCTCGCGTTTATGCCGGCGGTAGTGCGCAGAACCAGATGGAAGGAATATTCGGTGTCGACAGCAAGTCCGCTGATCTTGGTGCTGTGCATGTGCAGGGGCCGAGGGATGTTCCCAGCTTTCTGGCCATTGCGATAAAGGGAGAGGGAGATGAGGTCGGCAGTGGCGAGCTCGATAGGGTCCCACTCGAGGACTACAGAGGTCTGGGTGGCATTGCGGCAGCGGAGGACGGGCGTGCTAGGCTCGGATGCGCCAAAGCAGGAGAATATGCGATCTTGAAGAGCTGAGAACTGGGCCTCTGCTTTAGCTTCAGATTCGTTGTTGCGAGAGACGGTGATGTCGACTATGGAGCCCGAAATGATATTTGGGGGCAACAGAATTGAGGGGAATTCAATCTAGATATCTCCATTAGATCTGCTATTAAAGTGGATAGGCTAATTGGATAGGTATTAGGGCAAGAAGGGTTTCTAAACTTGAAGAGTTATGAAATCGTAAATTGCGACAGTAAGGACGGAATAGATAATTATACCTACCAAACGTTTATCAGGGGTTAATAGAACAGTTACGCCGGCATCAACCTTGCCGACGGTAAGAGAAACGAGCATTGTCAATAAAGACGCTTTTGAGGCTCGAAATCAAGTGGGAATGTGAGGTCGACGATAAAAGTTGTAGTTTGAATTTGTAGTTAGTGTGGATAGAACTTCAAATGTTGGTACAGATTAACATATGATGGATTCGTTATGCAGTGTACGTACCTAATGCACCTAAAATTATGTACCTAGAAAAGGTGCCCGAGTTTGTACCTGAGCTTGTACCTTATTTCCAACTCGGCGTGTCAGGAAATTCCAATCTTAGGTACCTAGGTACTTGGCCCCTTACGTGTTATCGCATATGGGAAAGATGCCCCGCGAATATCTGCTATTTACATCATATGTGAATATTGAAACATGTGACAGTGATTTTTATTTCTTAAGGCATAACATCCATTTTATGTATCGAGATATATTGATATGTTCCTCGTAATATGTCTTTATATATTTATGAGTGTTTAGAGTAGGCATCATTTATTATTTGGCACGACTGCGGGATTGTGTTTTAGCCTTCATATTATCCATCGACTTCCACAGCGATTTTGAGTGCTGCTGCTTAGGTTGTCGATAGTTTTGCATTACATGCATGCGTTTGCCATCTTTGTCTCGTGCAAGCATAGGCTCAATGCCAGACACAATTTTGTTCGCTTGCTTTAAGAGTTCTGGGAATTTCAGATTGCAAGCAGCCTTTGGATCCGCGCAGACGATGTTTACTGTCCCATGCAAATCCGCAATGATAGAATTGTCCGTCGTAATTTTTCTGCCCTCCAGGTCATATCCGTGAGCAGCCAATGCATCACGAAACGCATGTCGTATTCTTCTTGCTCCTACTCTGCACGGAAGAGGCGAGGTTGTAGGAACAGAATAGACCGAATACCACAGAGGCTGCTTTTTCTGGGCAATGTACATTTCCAAAACCGATTTGGTAAAAGGTTGTTCATATTTATCCAGATATCTCAACGATTGCTTGTTGAAGCAATGCTTCTCAGAAATCATGACACCTAACCCGAACGGATTCGGCGTCAATTTTACTCCAGGAGCGCGTCGTAGGACTGAAGGGAACGAGACTTGGTACTTTTTGCAGAAAGTAATGACATGATCACCAGGTTGGATTTCCCCTTCAAATGTAGATCTTCCTGAGCTATTCGAAAAGGTGCTTGATTGTGGGCGTTTTGGGCGGCGTTCATCCGTAGGAGCTCTCTCATTGCTTATCCATCTTTGGAGAGAAACATATTGTTCATAATGTGGAAGCCGTGGTTTTCCTAGGGGTCGGGCAAGATGCAAGCTTGTCATGATTTACCTAGGCCGTCCCCTGTCCAACTGATGAGTTGTCAAACGGCTCATAGCTTCATGGGAACCGTATGATGTTGATTACAGGTTACAGGTGACAGGTGTGTAAGAATAAGGTGGCGTTTTCGATAAATTTTATGATTCAGTATGATTTTCAGCCTTGTGTCTCACTTGCATAGGTAGATACATCCACTCATGACTTGAGCTGCTAAGTACCTAGCCAATAAAACCTTGTTATCCACATGTATTACTGGCCCACTAACCTCTTAACCTAGCACTTAACCTTTTTAAATAAAACCAACAATTATAAAACCAAAAAGAAATGGTAAAATAACTATAACAAAGATAAAACAGGTATCTTTAATAAGACTAAAAGTTAAAGAATCGGTTTATGTTTTTTTCTTATTTTCCATGACCTTTCTTTGATATGTATTTCGAATATAATATGTCGTGTTAAATTTGTTATGTACCTGTCAGCCTACTGGTCCACTAACTATAACTTCTACCCAATAGAGTTTTGAAAGAAATAACTTACGAAAGCTGCCCCCACTATTACTCGCTGTCTGCTCGTTTCTGTTTGTTATTTAAATGCCCCTCGTCACCAACGCATTTCCTGCCCTTGAAAACATCTGACATAGATCAACAATCCTCGAAGTCTTAGATAGTTTCTCGACTTCCATCTTCGATACCGAAACATAAAAAATCAGATACTATTTTACCCTACATATACCAGAAAATCATCTAATTTTCCGCCAACATGCCTAAGAATAAGGGAAAGGTGCGTGTAATATTCCAATGTCGACCCCGCCACAAGTCTTGAGTTTCTATCCTTTTTTCCCTTTGTGTGTGGTCAGCTCGTGAACTCGATCCCGTCCAGAGACAACAATTACCCTAAAACCGGGGTTCAACTAGGCATGGCTTAGGGGAATTTATGGGATTTCGTGTCTGCTGTGCTTATCAAAGAGAAGCGGCAAATCAAGCCATTTTACAAGCTGATCACACTTCTAACATTTATACCCCTCATTATATTGTCGCGCATGGCAATATCAAATATTCGATTAAACTGACATGTCTTCAATAGGGAGGTAAGAATCGTCGTCGTGGAAAGAACGAGAACGACAACGAGAAGCGCGAGTTAACCTTCAAAGAGGAAGGACAAGGTACGTCACATATCTGAACCCCCATCACGGCTTATATTCCTATCTGCCACAATACCAAAGCCAGTGATAAAAGAAAAGGAAAATAGTAGATTCTAACAAATGCAAAACAGAATACGCCCAGGTAGTCAAGATGCTTGGCAACGGTCGTCTCGAGGCGCAGTGCTTTGACGGCGCAAAGCGACTAGCACATATCCGTGGCAAACTGCGCAAGAAGGTCTGGATCAACAACGGCGACATCATCCTGCTCTCCCTACGAGACTACCAGGACGAGAAAGGCGACGTCATCCTCAAGTACTCGGCCGACGAGGCCCGTTCCCTCAAGGCCTATGGCGAACTACCCGAGAGCGCCAAGATCAACGAGACGGATACCTACGGCCCCAACGACGAGGGCGAGTGCGGTTTCGAATTCGACGAGGACCGCGATTCCGAATCCGATGAAGCAGGTGCTGGCGGCAAGGAGGTCGACATCGACGACATCTAGTTCTCCCTTCCTGCTTGGATGGGGATGTATCACTCACCTGGTCTTCTGGTTCCGCTACGCCCTACAACCTACCTCATAGCAACTTCAAGACCAGAGGGAAAGCCTGTCTTCTCTCTCAAACCCGGATCGTACTTACTACCATGTGGTCTGGGTTCCACGACAGTCGGGTGGTGCAGCTTTGATGGCAAGCAAGCGGCAGGGTACATGGTGGGAGAGACGTCATGGCCTTTTGCTGTTTGGCAGCTTAGATACGACGACGATTTTTTATTTTTGCAGTCTATTTCTCGCTGATCCTAGCATTGATGATGACGGAGAGGGTGGTTGGAGGACCATAGCATAATCATAATGAACCTGCGTCGCGAGACATTACTTCCAATACGAAGTCAGTTTGCTGCCAGCTTTCAATACAGATGCTTCTTCTCTCAAGATGCTATACGCTTGGACACTTATTGGTGACATGATGCAGTTATTTGATCTGATACTTTTTTGTATGATTTGTAGTTAACTGAGGCTACCAATTCTCTAACTCTTTCTATTCCAAAACTATACCAAGCTCAGAGCTCCAGGTCAATAGTTGATAAACAATCAACCCCAACTACCTGGGCCTGTCCGACGTACTCGTGCCCTTATTCTATATCCTCATTCTGCGTGCAGGCTCTTTGGACGTCGACAACAGGCCCTAGGTCCCTATGAGTTTTGCTCCCCCAATCCGCTAAGCGATTTACCGCTACCTTATTTACTCCGCCCTCACTTGGGTGTAGTAGTCGGTTCCGCTATGGTGAACAGAACACCACCCTCCTTCCCGCCTTGCATGCTTGGTTTTAGTAGTACATATTTGTTTGCATATAAATAGTTTTCAAGGCCTTGCTCTTTTCTTGAAATAGAGGGACGGCTAGTTACCTAGCCAGGTCCGTCTAGTTCTCTCGCAACCTATTTGATAAGCAACCGGTGAGGCTCCGCTACTTATGAAATCTTCATCTTCTGGGTTGCCTCACTGACTGCGACCCAGTAGACATTCCCACTTCCATTCTCTTCCGATCGCTTTAGGGCTACATACCCATAAGCTAGCCTATCCCATGATAATTGGATAGCTTCTGATTTCCCCTGGATGAATCTTGTGAATATGGCTCTACCACTCATCATTACTCTTCTCATCGTCTTCACAGCTGTTAGTCTCGAAGCATTAGTCTGGATGGAGATATATATGAACTTACCGCTATCACGAACTCTTTCCTTCCGCTTCTGTAATGCCGCAGCCAAAGCATCGGCCATTCCGCCTCCGGGTCCTCCGGGGGCAATACCTGCGGGTGGCAGTCCACTACCGTGCGGTCCCGTATCTGCCCCTCCCCCAACGGTAGCCGCGCTCCTATCTCTGATTTGAGTCCTATCCACCTTTTTGAGCGCTCCAATTCCACCGGCCTTTTGGATGCTTTCAAGCATTGCAGAGCGCCCAGTATCCCCGGCGACGGCTGCAGCTGGGACTCCAGGTGGAACTCCAGACGAATAGCCCGAGTCGCGATTGGGAGGCGGTAGCGGCGGTGCTGCTGGTATTCCAGCTCCAGGTGGTGGAGGTGGTGGCGGCGGCGGAATTCCTGCGACTCCAGGAAGAGGAGGCGGCGGTGGCGGAGGAGGTGCGCCAGGGCCAGAGCCAGAGCCAGGAAGTGGTGGAGGTGGCGGCGGTGCCAATGACTGAGGTAAAGGGGGTGGAGCCGGTGCGCTCGGCGGTAGAACTGGCGGCTGGGGTATGCTCCGCGGAGGAGGCGCGGGAGTTGGTCGAGACATAGCAGGGGGTGGAGGTGGTGCCGGTGGCGGCGCCGCTGCACTCGGACCAGGCACTTTTGGTGGAAGACTTGGAGGGAGCGGCGGTGGTGCAGACTGAGGTTGCTCCCTTGGCGGTGGAGGCACCGGACCTCTGGCCGGTGGTGGAGGCGCGTGATTTTGCTTCTGGCCAGTAAAAGCAGGGGGTACGCTAAATTTGTGTCCCGCAGACATCTCTTCGTTGTCTTCTATCGGGGTCTTCGGCGGTCTTGGGGGAGGTGCTGGTCCGGGTGGAGCTCGAGGTGCGCTCTCGGTATGAGCATACTTACCAGCATCTGGTAACGGAGGAGGGGCATTGAACCGTGGCCGAGGTGGTACTGGTTCTTCTGGTGGTGTCGGCTCTCTATGCACAAGCTCTATCTTCCCGGACCTACGAGGCGCGGGAGGGGGTGGGGGAGCACCACGACGCGAGCCCGACGATGTTATATGTTCTGGGCGACCCCCTCCGGCAGGTGGAGGCGGAGGCGGAGGGGGTAGGCGACCGTGGCCGTATGCATTATACCCGTTAGAAGCCGAGTTACTGGCTGGCGGGGGAGGAGGCGGTGGTGGTGCCGGTGTACGTGATGTCCCATTTTCGGATATTCCAGTACCCTGTTCCTTCAAGAACTCAACAATAAAGTCTTGGTTTTCCCTAATGAACTCGTCTGTGAGGCCCTGCTCCGATAGGAAATTTCCAAAATTATCTCGCCAGTTAGGATCATATGCCTCCAGCTTGGCAAATTTGGAGGCTGGCTTGTGGAAACCATTAACGCTTCCTGAAGAGACTCTGCCATGGGAGTGAGAAGGTGGGACGCTACTTCGAGGTGACTCGGGCGGTGTAGGTGCTGAGGCGTGCTTATGTCCCCCAAAAAAGCTCCCGAAGAACCCAGTCTTGGCCGCCGGTTGCGTTGCTCCACCGAAAGGAGTATTCCTTGTAGCCTTCGAGGCGTTCTTCTCCCTATCGTCCATCTTCTTTTTAAATTGTTTGGCTTCCTTCTCGTCGACGAAAGATAAACCTGCTAAGCAGTCTTCGAGTTCGAAGGTATGGAAGAAAGTTCGGTCCTGGTTGTAAGACCAGTTCTCAAATATTTCCTGATCCCATATTACACCCCGACTGGCGGGCTACAAATCGTTAGAAATTAAGAAGTACATGGCTTAAGACCGAACAAGGACTCACAGATACGTCAACCAGCTTTAACCAGTACGTATGTCCTACCAAGTCGTTGGAGAGGACGATAGCGCCCTGTAGGCCGGTGTAGGTCCATTTTGAAGTATTCGGGTATGCGACGTACAACCTCGCGACAGCTACGGCGTGGATCTTGTTGGTATGTTTTGGTACTACCCGCCGAACGGTCTCCTTATCCTCCTCGCTGAGGATGGACGGCATGGTGACAGTTGTAACGAGGTCGTGTGATGTAAGGGGGATAGGGGAGAGGAGGGGGAGATCATGGGAAGTCGGTGACTATCTCCAACCTTCCCCAAGCTACTGTAGAATTACCTAGTAAATACCACTAAGCAATCATTTGAATTGATATATGTATGTAATTGGAATAGAATGCAGTGTATGTTTCAAGGCTGAGTATCTGCGCCTTGTTGGATGCGTAACATGAAGCGTGCGCGGCTACCCGTAGGATTGCACCGGAAGTTGGCGTCAAGATGCGGTCGGTAGGCGGTTACGCAGGTTCGGAGTGCTAAGAAGCAGTTGGTTGGCTACGTTGGAAATCGGAGAGGCGATTGGGAGGCAACCAAATTTCAAAGGCAGATGCAGCTGATCTAGCTTGGAAAAGAGGAAATATTGGTTGTAATTTGTATGTACGGACTTGGTGGTCAAGTGGAGGAGTGGAGGAATAGAGGATGGGAAGAGAAAAAGTACCTAAGGTAGTTTAATTCATTTATTTCGTAAGTGACATTGTCCTCTTATTGTTGTAGTAATTTCGGAATAGTGTTTCGTGACAATGTACATGAAAGTGACCAAGGATAGATGTATCTGCACGAAACCCGCCCGACATCATCAAGCGTTGTCTGACTAATATTTGAGAAACCTTGACCAATAGAGGTTCTCGAATGTAGTCGAAAAATAAAACAGCCACATTCAGGCACCGCCGCAGTTCGATAATGTCTCTTAGATGCGCCACCTCTCGGAAATGCCCCGCCAAAACATTCGAGTTGCTCATCTCAATTTCATTCACTTCGGATAAAGCGGTCAATCGAACTCGAAGGTCGGTGTCGGATGGATAATGATACCGAAGAGCCATGCTACCTAGTCTATGTACACGGATGCAGCCATTTTATTTATATGCACGTAACTGAGGACGATTAAATAGGGTAGTTCATAAGCCATCAATCAGGCAGCTATATATCTCGAAAAGAAGATTGATTAACAAATCTTGAATAGTAGCCAAGACTAACTGACAAATACTACAATCTTTATTCCTTGTTATCATGCTCATCATTACGGATCCGTATGTACATACGGCGTATTCCTTCGAATGGTCTCAATATCCAAGAACCCTCTTCCAGTTTGATATCATTACATCTCACCGAAGGATCACTCCGAGCTATAGCCGCAGAGTTTACGTGTATTCACTGCCAAGTCTATTTGTTCAACTCTTTGGCCTTTGCTTGCCTTTCCTCCTTAGTCCCCTCTTGCTCTGGCATGCTTTGAGGAACGACAGGACCCGGATTCGCCTTGTGGGCTGCAAAAAGCTTTGCGCTTTGAGACTGGGCTGCCTTGCTAGTAGAGTTTGACTGAGAGTCGTTGTCAATCTTGCCGGTCTGTTCATATTATTCAGTTAGTCAAAATGACACTTATTGTTATGAGATGGTATAAGTTATACTTGGAATGTGTCAGGCATTTTGGGTTATGTCGACAACTTTAGTACTCTTTGGTTGGTTTGGTATCAAGTAGTTATATTGTAAATCGTTGTATGTAGGTAGTAGTAAATAAGAATCTAAAAAGTGTAGAGCCTTCTTTTGGATCTAGAATCGCTTTTATACCTCTTACATACCTACCTCCTTAGGTACTTATAGACGACTTAGGCATTCCTAAGCTCTTGGTGGTGTAACCGTCTTTCGATCGAGATGACGTACTTTAGGTTAGGTAGCCTTTTACATAGAACTTAATGGCCCGCAATTGCCCGTGACCCGGCGTCACAGCGGCGGCAGGTGATTCGCAACCCCGGATTTGCTAAAGCGCGACTGCAGGTGGCCTGTCTTAAGAGGTAGGTACATACATTAGGTGCCTAATTGATACCTATGTACATATTACATAAATGAAGAATCCCAAATATCTAGCTCCAAATTCTATGATGCTTACTAGACTTCTACCATAGACGCAAACACTTACGTACCACTTACCTCACATTATCACATTATACATGTACGACATCGACTCTCGTAATAGAATGATGTCGTATGCGAATATGCACGAGGTCCCTTGAATCCAATCCGTCGCGCTTCTCCCCTTCCATCTAAGACGTGCCCCGCATGTCTGCGAATAATGCTCCTCAACCGGTGAAGCTTTCACTGCCTCTTGTATGATTTTCTAGTCTTTATTGTTATGTTATAATTAGTGGTTTGCTTAATTTTATTTCAACTAGGAATACCAACAGCACCTCTTCCAAGAGCTCCGCGCCGAAGATGAACTCGTCGTTATTGCCAAAGGCCTCGGCCTTATGCGCCTCGTTACCAATTTGCTACACAGCTACGACGCCGCCGGAAATAATCTGATAATAGTCGTAGGCGCCGAAGAGAGGGAAAATGCCTGGATCGGGGAGGCTCTCGCCGAGTCTGCTGCTATCAGCATGGCTCCTAAGGCTAGAGGTCTAACCGTAGTAAATACCGACTTCACCAGCGTCGCAGCCAGGGAGAAGATGTACGCGAAAGGCGGCATCTATAGCATTACCTCCCGAATCCTAGTTGTCGACCTATTGACGAGTCTCCTCGACCCAGGCATCATCACTGGCCTGATTGTCTTACATGCTGATAAAGTGATAGCTACCTCCCTCGAGGCTTTCATTCTCCGCGTATACCGTCAAAAGAATAAGGATGGTTTTCTAAAAGCATTCTCCGATAACCCGGATCCCTTCACCGTCGGCTTTTCACCACTAGCCACGATGATGAGGAATTTATTCCTTCGGAAGACATCGCTATGGCCTCGATTCCACATGACAGTTGCGGATTCCCTCGAGGGCAAGAAGAAAGCAGAGGTTATTGAACTTGAAATACCTATGACAGACGCTATGCGGGACATCCAAACGGCGATCATGGAGTGCGTCGAGGTCAGTATCCACGAGCTAAAGAAGGGTAATTCGGGATTAGAGATGGACGATTGGAATCTTGACAGCGCGTTGCTAAAGAATTTCGACGTTATGGTTAGGCGGCAATTGGATCCGAACTGGCACAGAGTCAGCTGGAAAACGAAGCAGATTGTTAGCGATCTAACAGTACTTCGCGGTCTACTGCACTCGGTCCTAGCTCTTGATTGTGTGTCTTTCCTACAACATCTGGATACTATCCATGCTGCTCATTCCCCTCAGCCCGGATCTACAAGGCAAACCCAGTCTCCGTGGTTATTCCTTGATGCTGCACATACCATCTTCGAAACCGCCAAGCGGAGAGTATATGCTAGCAATGCGAAAGCTAATGCGAAATCGTCCATCGACTCTCTCCGCCCAGTACTGGAGGAGCAACCGAAGTGGGCTCTACTCGCAGAAATTCTAGAGGAGATTGACAGAGACCTGTACTTTGAACCCCCAATGAGAGATGACTCTAATGGAACCATCCTTATTATGTGTTCCGATGAAGCGACGACCCGCCAACTCCGGGATTATCTTCAAATGATGCACGTTGAGCCGAAGACCGAGCATGACACAAATCAGAATAAGGCGGAGCATAAAGCTTCTGCTGCGTTCATGATGCGGAGAAGACTTCGAAGCTATTTAAATTGGAAGAGGGAATTCGCGCAAGTTAGTAATGCCTTATTTACTGAAAACCAAAGGGCTCTTGAGGGAGCTGTCGATCCACGGATAGCCCAGGGTGCCTACAAAGGAAGGGCACCAGCGAACAAGAGACGCCGAGTACGCGGCGGTGGCAGTGTGGGAACAGCACCCGGTAGGACAGCAAACGGGAGTGTAGCCCAGTACTTCGAGAAGCCCAACGAAGTTGCTGACCTCATGGACGAGATTCGGATTACAGGGGAAGAAGCAAACCAAAAAGCAGATATCGTAGCTGATCCGCTAGAGGATATGGATGATTACTTTGAGCTTTACGAGATGCAGGATCTTGTCGTAGTGCACGCATATGACGGCGATCAGGATGAACATATTCTCGAAGAAGTCAAGCCTCGATACATAATCATGTACGAACCAGACGCCGCATTCATACGCCGGATCGAAGTTTATCGGTCATCACATAACGATAGGAACGTTAGAGTGTATTTTATGTTTTACGGCCAGTCGGTCGAAGAGCAACGATATCTTGCTACGGTCCGACGAGAGAAAGACTCGTTCACTAGACTTATCAAAGAACGCGCCAGCATGTCTGTCGTTATGACTGTTGATTCGCAGGGTGTCGAAGATCCGCAGGAGGCGTTCTTAAGGACAGTCAATACTCGAATAGCCGGTGGGGGTCGGTTGGCAGCCACAGCGGAACCTCCAAGGGTTGTTGTTGATGTCCGAGAGTTCCGCTCATCGCTCCCGTCCCTTCTTCACGGGCGTAGCATGGTAATCGTACCCTGCATGCTCACAGTCGGCGACTATATTCTCTCGCCAACTATATGTGTCGAACGTAAGTCTATTAGCGATTTAATCAGCTCGTTCAAAGACGGACGACTCTACAGCCAAGCCGAGGCAATGTTTCAGCACTACAAAAACCCTATGCTATTAATCGAGTTCGACCAGAACAAATCGTTCACGCTTGAGCCATTCGCAGATTTGTCGGGCAACCTAAAGTCGGTTAACCCTAATGAGGTACCGTCGGATCTTCAGTCCAAAATCGTGCTTCTCACTCTCGCGTTCCCAAAACTGAGAATTATTTGGAGTAGTAGTCCATATCAAACCGCCGAGATCTTTGAGGGCTTGAAAACGCAACAGGAAGAACCAGACCCCGTAGCAGCTGTCCGAGCAGGTTTAGATAAAGACATGAAAGCAGAGGATCAAGTGTTCAATCTCGAGCCACACGAGATGCTAGGAGTGGTGCCAGGCGTCAACCCGAAGAACTTGAAGAACCTGACCCTAGAAGTAGAGAATGTTCGTGAAGTAGCCAATATGACTGAGACTGAACTTAACCCGCTAATCGGAAAAGAAGCCGCAAGGCAGGTATACGGGTTCTTTAACCGGAATCTAATCGATATAGATGATTGAGACCACAAATAAACAAGTCCTTAATATTTCATCTAGTACATTACAATAAAGATTTTTAAGTGCTATGTAGTGTAATGCAGTGACTTGAATGGCAATTTTATTTATGAGGATGTTGTGACAATTCCATCACCCCGTCTCCGTATAAAACAAAAACATCAGGAGACTAAGTACAGTACTCAAGAAAGTAGAAAATAGGGTATCGTAATGCTCATTTGATCGTGATAACTCTGGAAAGCCCCGATTCTCGTTAACCAACGCTCCACTCATCATCACCGCCCAACTAGCCCATATGAAACGAAACGAATTACTCGAATTCAATTTTCCACGCTCTCGCTCTCCCTCCTTCAGCGAATCACCACCTCCTCTAGATGCGGCTCGTGGTGGTGGCATGGCTACGTCGGCCCCAGCCGCTGCGCCGCGTACCGGTAGACATACCGCCGCCTGTCTTGTGCCGGTGGCCGCCGCAGTAGCCGCAGGTCAGGAAGCTGACGAGAATGCCGAAGAAGGACACGATTCCGTTGATGATGGCTACGAGGATGCTACCGATGCCTGACACGATGGCCATGATGACGTTTCCGATGGTGCGGAAGATGGATTGAACCTGTCGTGGCACTTGTTAGTCTATCTATAGTTGTGGATAGAGTGGTATAGTTGTGGCAAGGTAGAACTTACGCAAGATACTACGGCACCCATGTTGACGGTTTAGGTTGATTTGATAGGTCGAGTGTAGTTTTGGGTAGGTAGGTTATATTGGTTTAAGACTGTTGTAGTGTGTGGATAGTAAAGCGTAGAGTTTGCGCTTGCTGTTTTTCTGGGTATTGGAAATGTTCTGGATCACAAGTTGTGAACTTAGTTGCAGCTGTAAAAGAGGGAGTGACGACTTATATACGAACTAGGTCACATTATATGTATGGGCAGAGCATCATGCCGTTGCCAAGGAAAGCCTGGGCATCGAACTTCTCGAGGAGAATACAGCAATGTTAGGTCATAGAGTTGCAAGTAAGCCCCAATGAGATCATCCCTTAAAGCCTGCGTTCATATCAACAGCATATTAAAGATGGCTAATCGCCATAACATTACAGGGGCATATATCGGGTCACGGCACGGTAACTAGAGGCATATGTGATTTCTATCCAGCTTTGTAGATCTCCAATAATAATTACGTGCATGGAAAACCCATCTTTGACAGATCTGGTCCTCGTGGGTTGATTTGTATAAAGAAGTAGACGTCACAACGACATTATGTACCTAAAGGATAGCCCCGCTCGCCGTCATCGTGATCTAAACTTCAGAAAGGGGGCCATTCTTCGTCTAATTTGCCTATGCTGCGAATCACAGCCGCGCCGGTGTAAATGGTCCGGCAAGACTTAAAATTAAGCCTCAAGGATTCGACAGACAAACGGTGGGCAAAAATGATGCTGTCATAGATATGTGGCTTGCCTCTGATATCCTTCCTAAAGAGGAAACAAAGAGCGCCACGGAAGCGGGGCTAATATCGTCGATGGGGCTTGACGTATATCTGCGTATAACAAGTGCCTAATGCCCAAAGCCAAAAACCTGTTTGATTTCTTAGAAGGGAATGGTTTGACACACGGGATGACGTACTTTTGGTAAGATGCGCCTGGAACCCTTGCCTGGATCTTTTCCAACCCGTGACCAATAAGCGGGAATACTCCCTCGTGTTGGCGCCTCCTAGCCCCAGCGTCGTCATCGTATTATGTGCCCAGGAAACAAAGCGGAACTATGTAACTACTATGTAACTATGTGAATTCCATACTTCCAATAATATCCAGGCCCTTAGTATAACTAGATTTGCTAAATTTATAAGATAGAGTCAATAACAGGCTTGATCCTGTTCCATGCCACCCTTAGTCTAACATAGAATACGCCACAATATACTACCCAGAAAAATATATATGACGGGGCCCCTCCCCCCAATGCTGTAGAATTTTCTCTTTTTCCTCTTATCCATGCTTTGCCACGCAGGTAGCTTCACCCCCCATCTCCGCGGGGAGGTCGGGCAAGTCGCTGCCTCTCCTCAGGGTGCGGACTACCACCCTGACAGGATGAAACTGAGTTGCAGATAACCCTCCTATTTTCATGCAGACGAGCAAACTCGCATCCCGCCGACCGCGGTTACTGGTTCACACTTACAGCTGCAGTTGATGCGCCCCTCGATCGACAATTTATTGTCTCGAGGTAGGTCGCTCGCTCGCTGGCCTCGCCTATGCCATTGTTTGACGTGACGATGAGAGCATACCGGTCGAGTAATGGAAGCATTGCTCTTGATATCTTCGACTCGCTCACTCGCATGGCTATGTCTTCGAACATCTACATACCGACTACCTTCTCCGTCACCTATCCGCGCTAGATGAGCAAATCCCGGTTGCACACGGCTCCTCCAATCGAGACGGACAGAGCTTCTCGAAGTTGTGTGTGCGCTGCTGCCGATGACGATACGATCCATCGTGACGAAAGCTGGAGTCTGCGTGTGCGAATTTCCGTCCGCTAGCCTTCCCGGTCGAACCCGTCTCGGGTTCTCGGTAGAAGAACTGTTGTTGATCGACTTTCCCCGCCGACTCGCTTACCGCGATGTAGTCCACCGCCTCGCCGGCCCCCTTTTGATTGATACTTTTGAGTACTATCTCTTGGAGACGTTGCCGTGTCCTAGTGATTGCTGTCGCGTGGAGGGTAAAGAGAAAGGGCTCGGTGTGGCCTTTCTAGTTTTTACGGGTGTTCTCTTATCTGGGGAAGTATGGCAGCGCAAGCCTAGTACCAGTCCTATTCCTTCATTATCCGGTTAGTGCGTCTTAGCCCGTGTGGACAAACTAGATTGCTATATCGCAATTACGAGTAGACGTTCCACGAGGATGCTGGACGGTACTGGGTCGATAATCTTCTAACAGACCTTCACAACATCACATATCTTACCTCCATCGTATACCATCTCCCGGCCCTTCTTAAGCATACCGAAAGGTGCTTTGGCGTGCGCTATTAGCACTAGAGGTCAAAGCTTACACGAGTCCAAGTTAGTTTCCTTACGGACATCTCGCCCGACATGACACCCGTTGTCAAGATCAAAATATATCCTCATGTGCTACAACCACACCAGGGAACAATTCAATATACACCATGCAATGGCTGGCTGCAAATCTACCTATGGAATGCTTGGAAATCTCGTCATGGGGACTGTGAAGGGTTTTAGAACGTTGCCATATTTAATCGTTATTTCTCGCATAATAGTGTAGAGAAAATAAATCTGGTTTTCCATATGCCGTGCTTGACAGAATCACCATACTTGAAATAATAGTTTGGCTAAGATGAGTTATTAGCCTTAGACAACCATGGACTTGTTCAAGTCGCTTATTTTATCCGAGCCTCACAGCAGTGCTACAAATTGCGTATATTGCAGTAGGTTAATCTAAACTGAAGGTAAAGTTAAAGGGATATATATTAGTTCCATGGCTAGAGAATTGACTATAATAGTCCTATCGTAAAACATAAACCCGAGTATATAGAAAACGCTGAAAGCATGGATGGAACGCAGGTATAATAGGCCGTATTAACAATTGTTCTAAATCACAATAAGGACGTACATGAGTCGTCCAGCAGTTCTTGGAGAGCCCCAAGCTGCTTTGCCAAAATTTGGGGCATATTAAGAGAACTTGAAGTTCTTCTTTCCCGGCACGGTTTTGCAAGTTTCTTAACCAAGCCAGCTAGTTTAGAAAGTGCCTCGGGCACCACTCTTCTCATCGATATCGCGGTACCGTTCACGCTCCTTCCGGTCCTTCAATAAACAGGCGATAGACATAATTAGGACGACGTCGATGCCGACCATACCAAACATAGCTGTGAAAATGTTGTCCACGAACGTGTTTCCGAACGAGTTTAAAGGGGCAGCGCATCCTCGCAAAAGGGCGGCAGCGGCGGGGCTGGGGCAAGTCGCATCGGTAACGAAAGCAGGGGAAGTACTGTTGTTAAAGCCGCAGCAAGTGAACTAGGAACAGAGTTAGCCTAACCTATCAAGTGAGAAAATGTAGCTATGGTTACTAACAGCCGTCTGCATAAGGTCTTGCACTTGAGGTGGTTGCGAAAGCCAGATCTCGAGGAATGCTTCCTTCATCTTCAAAGTGAGGACCCATAGCTCCACGCCGATAGACATAGTGAAAACGGCATCGACCACGATCATGTAGACAGCCAGCTTCAACCAACCCCTGCTATTCGTTGCTAACGCTGGAAGTGTAACTAAGAAGGTAACAAAAATGAAGACAGCGTTGACGATCCCGGCTGTAAAAGGAAACCTTTGGTATAGTAAGTCTCGAGCTGCTTGGTTTCCTTCCGTCGGCGTATCGAAGCACGTTTGCTGGACGATGACAGAAAACCCCAACATAATAGCCCCCATGGCCACGAACAATACGTCCATGGTCACGAAGGTCGCAAGCACCTTGTTCACCATCTTGACTTATCGCGAAGCGGTTGTCCCTAAAAAATTTAGCTGTGGAAATACACGGCTAGTATTCCCGTCTCCTAGTACGCAAAGGTACTTCCTCCTTCTATTCCCCCCCAATACGAGTAGTTTTTTTTCGAGGTGTTATTGACGACCGGCGTCTCGTATAGTAAAATTTGGCTGTCGTGAGCGACGAACGAGTGTGTGGCAAAAATAGCGAAAGAATGATAATATTCAAAGATCGGCTTAGAGCGTAGCGCGACAGCACTTACACCTTGACCAGCAATCCGAAAAAAGGAGAAAAGAAGATAGCGAAGCGAAAGTAGCAATTATGAAAAAAGGAGTAAAGTGAAAATAATACGATGCATAGCACGGACTATTGGAGAATAGAAGGGAGTTAAGCGCCGGGCTTGTTGAAAACTAAACTAAAACGCTACCGGTTTTTTTCCTCGGATGGCTCCGAAATGGGAGAAACGTGCGAAGCCAAGCGGCAGGGCAAGGGGATTAAGAATGGGATACGAAGAGAAAAGACACGCAACGGCCTGCCTGGATTAACAAAAAACGAAAATGAAAGCTGAACAAAAATACCATGCCACCAGGGCTCAGCCTACTATGAGTTTAGAAAGGAGGGAAATTAGAAAGCTTGAAGTAAAGGCGATGATGTTTGATCTCTTACTCCTGGTGTTTTAGATTTGTATAGGGTAGAAGGAGAACAGGGGACAGCCCTGTGTCAAAGCTGGTGCACGTACCATATGATGGCTCGTGTTGTGAATTACACACAGCCTGTCACAAGATGAAATCGACTGTTGGCCAATTAGAAGAGAGATTTCGTAAACGCCAGACTGACTAAGGAGAGAATCGAATGATATCGGTCTGAGGCTCTGACAGTATCCTATAGCATGAACTTACCTATGTATACGCCAAGATATGTATACGTACACACTTATCTTATTGATGGCTTCTATGATAGGTATACCTAGTTCTTCAGGTTCGTCAAAACTTGCCTTTTGCCTTCGATGTCCTATGTAAAATACCCTATTGTTGCTCTCAAGAAACATCCTGTCCAAGGCTAAGTTCGAATCTCTTGTGAGCGACATGAGTGTTTATCTCCAAGTTATCTCCAAGTTTTAAATTATCTTTAATGTTCTCCTAACTACCTAGTTATTCGAAACATGAAGATTCCTCCGACGTATATACTCACACAAAACGGAGGAATACAAAATATGATTCGAAGGTCCTTAGATGT